GAATTCCAATTATTCTTTGAACAAATCATGTATGTATATACAGAGATGCACACAGACACACTGCAGATTTCTGAAGATATTTTGGCAACCTGAATGCTTTTGTATATACAATAGTGTCATCATATGTATTTGTCATTCAGATGTTTCCTTCTGTATTTGTGATCATGATTACATCATCATTATGTGTTCATTTGTTTTGGCACACTCTCGTACCCTTTGGCACAATCCGTAAAAAAGAAGCATTTGACCAACACTGTATACTAATATCCACCGGTTTTCACCATGTTTATTTTTTCTTAGACACAGAGCTACAGTTTGCTTCCAATGCATGATGCAATCTCTTTCACACTGTTCACAGTTTTGACATTGAAGCTTTTTTCAGTTAGGATGTCTATTTTGAACTTTTGTTGCAACGTGAAGAGTGTAACGAGGAGTTACTGTTTAGGAAATGTGCTAAATTTTTTGTAAGCAGGAATAAATACTTGACTGAAATTGGTAGTGGTTTGCAAACATTTTAATCAATGACTCAGAAATTCAGGTTGATCATTGGTTAATCTTTTCTGAGGGTTGGGATTGTTTGGGGAAGAAAGCTGCTGTATCAAACTTTGATTAAGAAAAAGGAAAAGTCATATGTTACTGTCTATTTGAAGAATTGGCTTAAATTATATAGTTATAGAGCTTTGCTGAGGTAGGTTCTCGGTGTAGCTGCCACATGGCTGGCAGAAAAGGTAGAATGATTAAGCCAGTCTCTGTCCTTATTTACCTCATTGCAGTGTATCTGTTAGCCAAGCAGTGAAATCAGAAGCTGTTCGTTTATTGTAGCTGTGCTCATTAGCAGACTTCTAGCAGCGATCCCAGAAGCAAACCTGTTGTCCTAGGAACCTCATAGAGTCACAGGAGACAAAAAAAATCATAATGACCAGCCAGTGCCCAAGCATTTGGGACACAAGTAGAATTGCAATGATTGTCCCCCAGGACAGAGTGGAAAGAGGAGATTGTAGGTAATTGCCTTACCGCAGGAAATATTTTTATTTGGGTTCTTGTCAGCAGACATCATCCAAAGACACACTCTCTGCTCAACCTGCCCATGCCCCCGACTCAGTCTCGAGCCTATGCTAATACTTCCCTACATATACATAACGTGCCACCTGCTTATGTGTGTACAATCCAGGCAGGATTATGGAAGCTGCAAATATGATTAGGTGTTTGGGTAGTGTATGTTTTTTCCTTGGAAGCAGACATTCTCTGTTGTTGTCAGTCTGTTGTCATTGTTACTGAAGATTGTGTTATCTTGATCTTAGTTTCCCAGATCTCAGTATTACTTCATGCTGGATGGAGACACATAAATATTAACTAACTTTTCTCTCTTAGATGAGCATTTCCTTCATAAATAGGTAGTAATAATATTGTCTTTGTGGTATATCACTATATTAGCTTCATTATAATTAGTATTAATAATATAAACCAAGCTACTCCTATTATGAAAGGGAAATGCCAGAGAGGGTAAAAAATTAGATGCACTCACTTTAAAATGTCAGTACCCAAAACACTTGGCCAATGATGGACAGAAGTTGAATGTTTTCAGCTCCAATAGAATAAAAAAAACCAAAAACAAAACCAAAACACCTCTGGTATCAGGAGTTTGTTTTCATTGTTTCTAGCATCTCTCTCCACCTTGGTAATTTTGTACAATTTACTACTTGTAAACAGCATGTTTTCCTTTTTAATTCCTGGCCTGCTCTTTCCAGTGTCCATCTTTTATAATGTCTTGCATGTGACATCCTAACACTTGCCAGCAGCAGATCAGCCATCAGAAACAGGCAATTCGGACTGACTAGTCCAAAGAAGCTGAGGAACTGATTTCAGAGAGGAGTCCTGTGCACACACGAATGTTCACACACGACTACATTCGGTGCCCTTCAGACAAAAAAAAAAAGTTGGGGGATTTTGCGCTTATCATTCCTGAGTATTCCTGCAGTAGAACTGTTCACATAGTTTTGTCTTAAGCTGATCTCTGGCTGCATTTTCAAAAGTGAGAATTAAGTAATTATTAGGATAGCTATATGTAGAAAAAAGGGGGTTTTTATTGACTTTTCCTTTTGTGAGGGTTTTTTCATAACTAAATCATAATGCATACTCCTCATGATTTTTTCTTTTGGAAAGCAATTAAATAGAAATCTGTAGGACTAAAGTATCCTTTTTCTGTTCCTATCTATCCCTTTACATATTGCTCTCCTGGTACTATCCCTGCCTTATTTGGGGCCCAATCCTTCTCCTATGAAAGCTAGTGGGAAAATGCAAATGCAAAACCAAATGCAAACCCCAGGATTTTTTTACTTTTTTAAGTGTAAATTTATGATGACACTGTAATATATGTTCTGTATCTGTCAAATACTTCATTTAATTTTTGATTATACAAAATATTGAATGCTAATTAAGTAATTTTCTCACTGATTGACAGTATCAAGCTCAGCATGAGCCAGTCACCGCAGGTTAATGTGAAATTTCAGGCTTTGTCTGCAGAAGGTGTAATGAAACTTTTTTCTTTAAAAGTTTCAGATAAAAAGGGATTTTTTTCTATACCAAAAAGTCAATAGCAATGTGAGTTTGTGCTTGATGTAGGCAGACAGCTTTGCAAAGTTATTTCCATGTTTTGTGATATTTTGGCATTTATGATGTTTGTGGTTATAAATTTCTCCTTAATCTGTATTTTGATGGTTTTATTTCGAATTGTTGAAATCTGCAGGGAGTTTCTAATGCCGCAAATGTTTTTCATTGGCAGGATATTTTTTGTGTATTTTCTATAAGTGCTTACAAAGCTTAGATATAACAGCTGATTTTACAAATACTCTGAAGTGTAATGAGGAGATCTGGGTTTTGGTTAATATTAATGCCTCAATTTAGTAATAATCCCTTAAATAGTTTTAAAACTCTTTTGTTTCAGAAAATACTGATATCCTGGCAGGGCAGTAATGTATACTTATGTAGATTGCACATAGTTGAACAAACTTATTTTTACCTCATTTTGCCTTTATGATCTCTTTATATATGTTTTGCAAAAAAGTAATAGACAAAACAATTTGTATTTTAATAAAAACCACTAATGATCTGACCTTAACAAAGTACTACCTATTCTTGGTTTTTTTACCATGGTATGTTTGTACAATACACTGCTAGTATTTTCAGCAGAATCAGCTCCTCTCTTTTCCCTTCCTTTTTCCCAGGTTTTATCTTGGGTAACAGCAATACTTGAGATTTTACTCAGTGAAGCATGGCGTTGAGAGTGTGTCTGATGCATCCACAGTATGTTGGAAGCAGCACTGGGGAGACATTGTGGTTATTGCCGTTATATGTGACAATAATTGTTGAAAGGTGCCCCTATATAAGGAGGATATTTTAGGCAAGAGAGTAAGACCCATTACTTGGGTCTAACGGCCAGACTCCCATATGTTCTAGCGCCATAAATGTTTTTAAAGATGCTTCCATTCACTTTTGGAAAAGGCTGCTGTGAATCTATCAGTGCACAAGCAAGCATGGGCAGTTGGTCCTTTAAGCTTCGCTAGCTGCTTTGCTAAGTGTCTGACCATTTACGATATCATAGAGTCATTAGTCTGGAAGAGACCTCTAATATCATCATGGCAGTTTCTCCACAGACAGACAGAGACATTATAAAGAGAGAAGTGAGTTTCTTCTTCACAGGACATAGAGTTTGGCTCTGTGAACAAGAAGTTGGTGTGTGCCTCTGTCCTCCCTTGTAGCCTCTGAGGGTTGTACAGGTCTGTTCCGAAAGGGTCAATCAAATCCAGAAGCCCTTTCTCCGTGGTTGATCCTGTTACACCAGCTGAGGTATATGAATACTTTGTAGATGCTGAGAGAGTATAAGTATTACCTTCTCATTGGGCTAACTCTGTGGAAGGGTTAGCCTTCGTGTCATTGTACTAAAAATGTTTTACTTTGGCAGAGTGAAAAATCTGTCCTTGTTAAGCACTACAAAATCCAGTGCTCGTCACTGAGTTAACTCAAATGAATTACTTTGCTTTAAGGGGACTCCTGATGTGATATTAAACACAATTACTTGAATATGGTTAGATTCCAGTGATGGGGTAATTCATCTTCAGAAAGAGCACAGCAGAAAAGTGGGCCTCGAAAGGCCAGTTTGGCTCCAAAGCTTTGTTCTTGAGTTTTACTCAGGCTTACAGCTACAGTTTTATGCAATCTGTGGAAATCGATGGCTAATTTTGTTTGGCTTACATGTGAGCAGCTTACCATTTGTATTTACTTTCCATTGAGTCTCTTAAACATGTTTTATACTGGCAGATTTTACTGTGAGCCAGCCAACAATGTTTTTGTATGAGCCAGCTAACATGAAATGCTAAAGGGAGGTTTTAATAAGGATATTAATGTTTTGCTTAGGAAGTATATTGAGTTGAAAGATGTTCATTTACATTTAGAAATGAAAAATGTCTTTCTGTTTATGGTTAAACTGATTTTTTTTAATCTTTTATTTGATTTTAATATTTAATATTCTTAATTTCTTAAAGCCAAAGCCAACTGAAACAGTCACAACTGATGAGTCTGGGGTAAGATTAGTAAACTGACCCCAGTGGTTTTACCTCTACTTGAGTTTATTCTTTTTACCATGTCTATTTTCCACCAATTTTTTTCTGTATTTTTCGTAACTGTCTTACTACAAAGGTGTTATGCAGTGGTTTGTATTCATTGTCAATGTACTTTTGAAGTCTACTACAAACAAACCCAATATGATCCTTATTAACAAACCAGAAAACTTGGAAATGCATGTGATGTGTGAAGCATTTCTACAGGTCCTGTGTTTTTAGCATGTAATTTTTCCTTTCATATCATGCTTATCAAGATGAAAAGGCCCTCGAGATACATTTTTCAAATCTTACCTCTTCCACCTGTGCATCTGTTGTTGTTTTTCTGGAAGTGTTGCATGCTTGAGTTTGTATTTGGTTTGACTTCTCCATGATGCTCTTCAGAACTCTGAAGACAGCGCTAGAATCTCCATCACGTTTTTCCGTCTCTTCCGGGTGATGAGACTGGTGAAGCTGCTTAGCAGAGGAGAAGGAATCAGAACTTTACTGTGGACGTTTATTAAGTCATTTCAGGTTAGCAAAATGTGTTTAAATTTGCTTTATAATTACAACCATTCATACACCAAATTTTATGAGGTAATATTCTGCAGAGTGCAAAAACCATTTCTTTTCAAATTCATGCTATCAATAATGACATATTTAATTATATTTGCATATTAATGCCAAAATAAACTTCACCAGTTACTTCAGGGAGTCCAAGGGTCATTCTTTCTCATTTAATATTAGCTGTTACTGTGAAATTTCTACAGTACTTCATAAAAAAATATTTGTTATATCTAAAAGGGTAGGATAGGTTTGAAACTCACATAGGTCTCATACTTCCACACATTTTATTAGGTGACTACAAAAGAGGAATTTAATCTATTTTTTTAAATATAAAACTTATTTCATAAGTGTAACAAATAGATACTTGAATCCTTGCTCCTGAAAACTCTGATGAATGTCAAGTTAGTGGAACTCTATAACTGTATAGAAGGAAGTATCTCTGTGTTGTCAGAGTCAGTAATGAAAATAAAATTTAAAACTGCTAAAGATGATTTTTCTGCCTGGATTTCTGGCAGAAATAATTTAAAATATTATGAAGCTTGTATTCATTCTATGTGGCAGAATATTAAGAGTGACAGGTAATAACATTTTAAGCACTTGCAAAGGAATAAAAACCTTGGAAAAGCCTGTGTTGTACAGAGAAAGTATTTTTGTAAATGGAAATTGAAATTATGCTGTGAAATTATTAAAAGACAATGCATCTGTCCCATTTCTAGGCTCTGCCTTATGTTGCCCTTCTGATAGCCATGCTGTTCTTCATCTATGCTGTCATTGGAATGCAGGTAATTACAGAATTTTTTTAGCATTAAGCAAAAGTACAGTGTTGGCTACTCTGAGACTGGTTTGCAAAGTTGCTTATTGAAACATTCCTTTGATAGCGGTGCTATATATAAGACAGGGCTTTCAGAGTAAAGTGAAAATCTTTTATTGATTATGATTTTCGTAGTCAGAAAATCCAAAAAGATGCAAGAGAAAGGCTTAGTGTGAGCTTATAGTACTTGGTTTGCTGGAAGGAGCCACTCCTCTTCCATGTACTGTGAAGTCTATTCCTATGCATGAATGTATGAAAGAATGCATGGCTTCTTTTTACTATAGACTTGTTTTGGGAATCAGGCATTAGAACTCCAACTTTTTTTTTTTTTTATTCTTTTCATATGGGAAAGACTAGAGCTAGGAAAAGAATCTAGCTAAGGATTTAGGCACAGCTGAGCCTATGATTAATCAAGAGTAGGATAGACATACAAGATGTACAAGCACAGAAAGGATTTTGGTAACTTAAAATGTAAAAATGTGATGTTGGGATGAAGGTGCCACTCCTTCCACAAGCTGCAGTGCTGTGAGGGCAAAACAGGTTCTCCAGTCTTAATAATTGGAGATAGCTAGATAGGAGAAACCTGTCAGGAAACTGTTCCCAAAATTCCTACTACTGGGTTGTTTCTAGTGGGAGGATGGATGGGATAGCTAGTTGAGAAGGGACTGCTCAGACTGCAGGAAAGCAGCAGGTAAAGGCGCTGAGCATGGAGCTGTGACTGGGACTGCAGTTGGAGTTGCATGGTAGCCTCTGTGCCACACATGAGATCTGGTGCCTGAGGAGCATGGCTGGATGGTGCTCAACACTTTGGCAGAAGTTCCCCTGGATTTGGCTGCAGTTTTCTCTCTCCCTCTTCTTTTTTCTTCTCCTGATAACACTGGTTTTCCTGCCATAAGGCTGTAGGATACCTCTGCATTCCGTAAAACAGGTGTTTTCTTTTGTTCTCAGAGTTGTAAGGTTCTTCAAACTGGCACTAAAGGAGGTCCTAATTAAATAGGATGAGAAGAAATATGCTATGGAGGGTGGTTTTGCTTCCTCACTCTTTCTCTTCATCATTTATCCAAAAGCAGCTTGATGTCCTTACAGTCCAGCAGCATGTATACAGAGCAACATTGTGTTAATCTCTCTAAATTAAGTAACAGCCTTCCCTGTATTGTAAGAGGATATAAATGTATTATATTGGTGAAGAAGAACGATCTTGTGACCAAGGAATTGCAATTTAGTTTTGAAGAACAGAACTAATTTCCATCTTTGGCTGAGACAGGATGCTCAGATTCTCTGTACTTCAGTTTCCATCTTTGCATCTCTTTTTCTCTATTTAGACTCGAGGTTTTCAAGACAGCAATTATTTCTTTATTACAAGTATGTCCAGTATTTAATGCGGTAGGGCCTTAATATCAAAAAAGGACTCTAGGTGCTAGTTTAAAACAAATAATGTTTTCTCACCTGAAGTATAGGAATGTGTGTTAGTATTATAATGGTTTATTGATGCCAAAATAAATGATTAAGAATTATCTTGTATATGTGATAAATTTACGTCATTATCAGGAAAATCTAAAGAGAGTAAAGAAAGTGTATTTGTGAAAGTGTTTTTCATACATAGTGAAGCAAGTTTAGACTGCAAGGCCTACAGCTTCTGACAGTACAGGTCACTAGGATGAAAGTCAAAGTCCTATTTTATTGTAGGTGTTTGGAAAAGTGGCCATGAGGGACAACAATCAAATAAACAGAAACAACAATTTTCAGACCTTCCCCCAAGCTGTGCTCCTTCTCTTCAGGTGCGTAAACCTTAACTCTTACTTAATGCATCCCATTTCATTGTTATGTGAAAAATGTCTGTAGCTCTTGAACCACGGGTTTATTCAAAATGTGTTTGCAAGTGAGAAGCAATTTAGCATAGCAAGCACATACTCTATATGGCTGTATGCTGAGTGTCCATTGGCACAGCAGGGTTCTAATCAGGTGATACAGACCTAAACTCATTGCAGCTGTTGTGAAACATCTCATTTGTGGACTACTTGTCTTCAGGCAGAGCCCAAATATAGTCAGCCCTGATGTCACTGTGCAGGCGTGGGGAAAGGTGAAAAAGACTGTGCCCTTACTGTAATCTTCACAAGCATGGCTAGCATGACAGTTTGAAAAAATGAAAGGTTGTTGCAAAGATAAAGAAATAAACTGTTCTTTACATCTTTGCTGAAGAGAGGAGAAGAAGTAGAGGGTGTAACTTGCTGAAGGGAAATACCAGATAAGCAGTGGGCAAACCTTTCTGGTGGCAAAGGTAGCTAAATCTTGATGTAGGGAGGTTAGGGAATCTCCATCACTGCAGAGCTTAAGAGGAGGGTAAATATTTGCCAGGAGTGCTTCAAAGTGTTCTGGAGCAAGGAGAGGGAATGACATGGGACAGGGATGCCTCTAAAGATGACAGCCTTGAGGGCTCTCTTGCCTGTGATTCTGTAACTCCACTTGGCTCTTATATGTTGTTACTACTTTGGTTGGCAAAACTGGCAGGTCTTTCCTTGTCTGAGACCAAGGGCATCACCCCATGAGACCTAGGTCACTTTATGCATGTAAAGACTTGTCTTTGAAACTCAGTAATGAACACAGCCAAAAATGTCATAAATATGTAGTTGTATTTTGCTTATTTGAAATCATGGGTCTGTACACAGGCATTACCCAACTATGCAAAAAATGCAATAGCAGAAGTTAGAGACAAGCATTTCCTCAACCATGCTGGGGAAAAGGCAATTCATCTTTTACAAACAGATACCTTTAACTTTTATGACAGGTTTTCATACAGAACACGCTTTCATGCACAGCAGCTCCACTGCAATAAGTATTTAACTTGTAAATCACAGTTCGGGGTTCAAATTTTTACATGCTAGCCTTTATGGTACATTAGTCTGTCTTATAAAATGTGTCTGCAATCTCATATCGATGCTTGTCATTTCTGAAACATTCACAATCTGTCTTCACTTTTGTGCTTGTACAGCTCCAAGCATTTTCTCAGACCCTAACAAGTTAATACATCTTTATTCTGTTTTTATCAAAGAATGCCTAATTTATCTTTGTGACCTTGTAAAGGTGTGCAACTGGAGAAGCCTGGCAGGAAATCATGCTGGCATGTTTGCCTGGAAAACGCTGTGATCCAGAATCTGATTATAATCCAGGGGAAGAATACACATGTGGAAGCAATTTTGCCATCATTTATTTTATCAGTTTTTACATGCTTTGTGCATTTTTGGTGAGTCTATCTTGTGCTTATTAACAGAAATGAGCTTTGGAATTTTGACTTTCTTCTGAACTAAGAGTAGTGGGTTCAGTGAACAATTGAAAATCCCACGTGTAAAATATTTTTGCAGGGTTATGTTTTTCTATACACAGTCCTAAATCCTGTATCTTATACTGATTTTTGTGATGAGGGTGGTGAAACACTGGCACAGGCTGCCCAGAGAGGTGGTAGATGCCCCATCCTTGGAAGCATTCAAGGTCAAGCCGGACTGGGCTCTGGGCAACCTGATCCAGCTAAAGATGTCCCTGGTCACTGCAGGGGGGTTGAACTGGATGAGCTTTAAAGGTCCCTTCCAGTTCTGTCATTCTAAACTCTCGTGTGCAAGTTGTTATTCTGACTACAGGTATGCAGGAGTGATTGGTTGCATGTTTGAAAGCTAAGTTAACAGTCTTTTCATCAGCTGTTGTTTCATGCATTTCTCAGTAGTATTGAATATTCATTAATAATGTAATGGGTCTGCATGGCAAGGTTTTGGTGGCATACTGGTTAATGCTATTTGTATTATTTAAACTTAGCAGAATTTGGATTCGTATCTCTACAAGTGTACTCAAACTGTGGCATGTGAGATGTGAACAATAACCTTTCTTCATAATCCATGACATAATGGATTATTTGCTCTAAAATAGATGTTTTTCCTTGTTGCAGGTGTCTGGTCTAAGCTGGTTGATTTGTTCTGTTCGTAGTACTGTTCTCCTTATAAAAGGAGAGTGGTCAGAGTTCTGTGAACTAACATAAACATACACGTTCTGCTGTTCTGTGTTATCTCCTGTGTTAACAAAACACGTGCATAAGTCTTATTGTCATGACACTGAATCCTATTAATACAAAAGCCATTTCCCAAGACCTACACTGTGTCAAATAAATGTATGGGATCCATTCTTTAATTTGATGTAGTGGGATCTGGCAAATCAAGGAGGAGAAACAAAACTGTGTTAGAGCCTATGTCAAAGATTGAATACTCAGATAGAATCACACACTTGTCATGTCATTACCTGATAGAGTTCCAGTTAGTCGGTTACACGATTAGCAAGTATTTTCTGTGATATTTGATATTTGCCAAAAATCATTGTTTATGAGATCAATTTATTTGCTTGAATTCTTGACCTGCTACCTTTTTATTGAATATTTTTTTTAAATTTCAAAATAATTAAGGCAGATTGTTCTTAATTTTTTAGATTATAAACTTATTTGTGGCTGTCATTATGGATAATTTTGACTATTTGACACGTGACTGGTCTATTCTGGGTCCCCATCATTTGGATGAGTTCAAAAGGATATGGTCAGAATATGACCCTGAAGCGAAGTAAGTTAGATAGTTTTTCTGATAAGATTTATGTGGTAAAACCAATAAAAGCAGAGTATAGTATATTCTTTGGGAATGGTTGTGTGTTGGTAACTGATGTGTGTTGGTTCTAGGGGAAGGATAAAACATCTCGATGTGGTTACATTACTGAGACGCATTCAGCCACCACTTGGTTTTGGCAAATTATGCCCTCACAGAGTGGCCTGCAAGGTAGGTTTTACCCTGTTTTTTTCTTTCCAGGGTTCTCTCACAGTTCATTCATTCATTCTGCCCCTTATGTGTCACATATGCACACTGATCCTGTCTTCACAAGATCTCCTTCACTCTTGTTTTCCCCTTTTTTTGCAGGCTTAACTTAAACCAGCAAAGCTAGGGGCATTTCTTTCAGTGTACTCATTTGAGTAGTTACCACCAATGTACAATTCTTCACAGAGCATCAAAATGAAAGGGGCCAGTCTGCAAATCAGTCACTAGTCTATTATTGTCACGTATATGAACTACCTCATCCCAGCATTTCTGGTGACTGTGTCACGTATAAGACTACTTCAACCCAATGACATTTCTGATTTCTTTTCAGTCCCAGGGAGGACAGTACAGTAATTTACGTTAATTGACCGTTAAGTTTGGATACAGTACTTCTACAGTCGCATCTATGAGAAGTTTGCTGCACATGAAACACAGAAATGAGATTGAAGTGTGGGGACTGCAAGATGATAAACCAAGCTGAAGTTAATAATGGCACGATGTGTAATTTAGATGAGGATTAATTGCATTTTAATATAAAAGTTTAAAAGCAAAACAAAGGAGATGAATAATTATTATGTTATTTGAGGATTTCAGAACTATGGATATTGTGGGTTTAGCAATTTCAGTACGAATAAGATCAGGCCTTTTAATTAAAGGATTGTTACAACAGCACTGGCAGTTGGATTTCTTTTATGTCTGTTATATAAAGAGGTAAGTTGATGTATAAAACACTGGGTTCAAATGGAATGCTACAAGGGATACCTAAAGTGAACCTGTATCTATACATTAAGATAAGTTATCCAATTGAGTAATGCTTTTACACTAGAATAGAAGAAAATCCAAGTCAGACATTAAGAAAATATTTTTATAGATTAAATAGTGTTTCCTCTGACAGACAGCAGCGATACTGCTCTGAAAGATGAACACTGTAATGCAGAGATGGACTAATCCAAAGAGGAAAGCCCCCTTCACACCGTTTCAGTGTAGATAGCATAAGAGATGCATGGCATCACTGAAGTTACCCGAGAAATGAATCAGCTTATACAAAACAGGCCTGGTGCTGTGGTTTTTCATGGAGCCTGAAGCTGGAGGAGCACATGGGAAACCTGGAACATGACTGCAACTGGAGTGCACGCTCTTAAATAACTGCATTTGTCCTTCAGACTTGCATAGTGTGACTTATAGCCAAGGACTGGGCTTCAGTGTTTGCAAATTAACTCAATAAATAGTTCGTGAAAACTACCAGACAGTGTAGCTCTTGTATAAGTGTGCATGTGATTAATACCAGCAAGAAGCGATAAGGGGTGGTTATTGTATGCAGCAGGGATGGCTCAACTTTTTTTGAAGACATAATTTTTATGCCTCTCAGTGGATATTATTCTTTGAATACATCAGCTTTTCAGAAATGAACATTACAGGAGGTTTGTTGGGTTTTTTTTCAAAGAAAGACACAGCAAAATTTGTTTTCTTTTTCTCATTTACAGAGGTTAGTAGCCATGAATATGCCACTGAACAGTGATGGAACTGTCATGTTCAATGCTACTTTGTTTGCTTTGGTTAGGACTGCTTTAAAGATAAAAACAGAAGGTAAGGTTCTTAGCTGTAAAGCCTTTACTGCACTTGTCAGAAGGTACAATGAGGAAGAGTTACAATTTACTTTGTTAGTTTTGTTGGACATGAGTATGAGCGTCTTAGTCTTACTGTATTTGGGTTGCTTTTGGATCATGGGTTGTATTCACTGTTGTAAGGAATGATTTGCTAGAAGATGAAAGGAAAAGGGGTAGTGAGGCTAGAGCCAAAGAAGTCTCAGAGATTATTATATGCTCTTATCTGGTCATATAAAAACATGTTCCAGTAGCATAACGGGAGTTCTAGTGCAAGGAGCAAAAGAGTTCCCCGTTCTATCCATCCAAGACGCTCCTTCCTCACTACTCTTTATCTTGGTGCCTTGGATCCCACGTTGGTGCAACTGCAACTTTTGCACACTTGAAAGCAACATCCCCAGTTTGGTCAAGGCCAGTTCTGACTGGGTTGAACGGATTTCTGTCATTTACTTCAGAGAGGGAGAAGTTTTAAAAAATACTAGTATGTTTCAAATAATTTTGCTTTCTATTTTCATATGTTTTCTCATTATTTTTATCACCTCTTTCTACTTTCTGTTCCATGTCTTCTGCCATTCTTAGCAGAATTTGAGTTCACTGTCAGTAACAAACTGATTAGATTAAGTCCCTCAGGCATTGCTGTAGCTTAGTGGAGCGCTGCAAGAGATGAAAAACCGCTCTGTAGTCAGTTGCCTGAACTTTGAAGCCTGTACGACTGAGTAATTACTCTGATTAAACAAATAAAGGCTCAGCTTTGGATCCAGAAGGAAGTGGCTTGCAAATAGCAAGTCATCACTTTCAGCACAGTTAGGCAGAAGCTAGTAAGCAGTGACAGAGTAGAGCCAAGATCTGTAAATTACTGTTCACCTATGCAGTACTCCAGAGACTGATTTGAAAGCCCCAGGAGCTCACTGTCTTAGGCCATTCTCTTTAGTTGTTATCTGCTACTTCTTGCTGCAAAGCATCCTTATCACTGTCTTTATTTGTATACAGCTAATTAATATCCAAAGGATTGTTCATTGCAGCTGCCTGAAATATAATTGCCATTTTGTGTTTTTCTGGTTTATTGCCACAGGTAATCTAGAGCAAGCAAATGAAGAACTTAGAGCGGTTATAAAGAAAATATGGAAGAAAACAAGCATGAAATTACTTGACCAAGTTGTCCCTCCAGCTGGCGGTCAGTCTGATAAACTTTGCAATATGCTATTCTCTGTGTGTTTTGGTCTTTCTAGACTGTTATGAAGCAAAGAAATAAAATTACTAAATTTTGCAATTACAATGTCATTAAAAGACAACAAACAATAATAACAAAATAAATATAGAGAAAATTATATCCTGTTACACTAGATAATCATGTAGGACTGATAAGTACAACTTCCTTAGATCAAAAAGAAAGAAAGGAAAATGTCACGCTTATTTTCTTGCTTGAAAAAAAACCCCTTATTAGACCTAAATCTAATAACTTGATTTCAAGTCATTCAGCAAAATAAAATGAACTTAGTTTGATTTCAATGTATTGAGCAAAATAACATGTTTTGTACTAATCAAGCTTGACAATGTACACTACGTTATAGCTTAGATCCTTGTATACATTGAATACTTCTGGGAGAAAACTAAAATTTAATCACCAGCTTAAAAATTTTTTTTTGCTAAATTAATAAAGCAAGAAGCTAAATTTTCTCAGTTACACCAGTTTAAACCAGACCAGTTCCATAGTCAACAGATCATGGAAATTGTTCAGATTTATGCCAGTATGACTGAGATACGGATATGGCCCACGTAAAGAGACATCTAAATTCTAATGACGCCAATACATTTGCGAGAACTACAAGGCACGCATATTAGTTGTTCCTACATGCTGTGAGGTCAGATATTTGTTATATCTCTCTTTTAAAATATATATATTCCAATATATATATTTAGCCTTTTTCAATATATACATTTCTATTAATATGCTGTAGTGTAGGTTTAGGTGACTGGGTTTTACTTGCTTTTTCAAGTTTTAAAGGTGCAGGATCTGTTGCACTGTCACCCATACCCAAGATATATTAACCGAAACATCCAATACCTAGATTCATTGTAATCATCTGGTATTTCTTGTAGTTTATTGTACTTTTATAGTGTTACGGCAGCTTTCAAGACTGATCAGACTCAGGTTTGGAAGCAGACTCAAGATCCCAGGCCCGATGGTGGTGGAGGCTGATCCCTTTCTGAAGGTGATGCGCTCAGTCTCTAGGGGAGGAAGAGCATGCTGGCTGCACTGCTGTTCAGCATGACCCAAGAAGCAGCATTAGCTTTGTTGCTGGAGAGAGCCACTTGCTATTGGTGTGGTGGCATCCAGATAATCGTGGGGATGAAAGCAAAAATCTGGCAAATTTGACAATCCAAAGGGGAACTGATACTGCACATTTAAAACAACTTTTTGTGTTCTACTCTGTTTTTAGCCTTACACCTAAGTGCTTGCATGGCATAGATGAATTGCTTTGTTATTGTTGTAACTATGTGCTTGAGCTTTTTCTGCAGCCTCTATTCCTTTCAACTATGAGTCTTTCCGAATATTCTGAAGCAATTCTGTTTTAGGGTGGTGGCATGGAATTAGCGTTGCCTCTTGCCAACTTTATTCCCCTACATTTTTTAATTGAAATAGAGATGCATGCTTCAGAATAGCGAGCTGTGCCTGCCTAAATCAATCTGACAAAGAATCTGTAAAGGTCACATTCCTATAACTAATCTTACATAGTAACTCACTGTTAACTTCAGCTTCATTTCATTGCTGAATATAAGCTGTATATTTGTTTTCAGCTGTACTAAAATTCATTGCTAATATTTATTCTGCAAATGTAGCTCTTCAGTGTAGCTAGAAGGCTGAAAACCTGGGTCATTGCTCAATTGATAGAAAACAGTGTGGCTTCCACAGCCCAGTATAAATAAGAACATGTTGAGAAGTCCTTAAGACTTACGGATTTTTTCATTTGTTTGGTTTGTTTCTCTGTGGATGTTGTTGTGACTTACCTGAAAATTAAAAATATTTAACCCACCTAGAAAAAAGATGAATATAGCTATTTTACATTCATATGCCATAGGAGTGTAAAATAGCTTAGTATAGAGTAGAAATCAGTTTTTATTGATGCTTAATATTCAACAGAAAATTGTATATGAGAATAACACCAGTGACGTCTGATAATAACAACCTGCTAGAAGAAAATTCTCTTCAATATAAACCAACAAAGCATCCAAACTCAATATGTTAAAATCCCTTTCACTTAAAAGTATTAAGCAGTCTAGCTGACAATGTTTTTCTCCAGTATTACTTTTGCTGGTACTACTGAATGCTAGATCCTTCATGTGCTTGTGACCATACCTCCAGAACACAAACAGAACAATTATTTGCAGAGCAGAATGAAATTAATCCATATAGTATTTTTTCCTGATTTATAAATAGATGCACTAGAAATGAACAGCTAGTTAATTATTGGTACTGGTTAAATAACTCATTACTACAACTTAGTTAGTGACACCTATCCAGTACAGAAAAATGAAACTGTTTTGCAAAAACATAGAATGTCAGTCAAATGCCTGACTGTATGAATGAGTTAACATTCCTAGGAGACTAGAGAGTAAGAGAAATGTATACAACTCACTAAAGTCACCTGTATTCTCTAAACTCCCCAGTCTCCACCCGCAAGCCCATTTAATCCTGCCTAATACTTTTTGCCCTCTTCCAAAATCTTCCTACTGAAATGATTCCTTTTGCTGTCACTAATTGTAGTTATGGATTTGTCTATTCTGTGGTCAGTTATGCTTAGCTGCCTCCCTGTATCTGTCCATATCTGGCTATATGTGTGTTACTCAAAAAACAAAGTCAAGGATGGCTCTCCTGGGCCAGGCCTCAGTTCATGTGTGCACGTGTCTGCAGTGCAACTGACTGTGCCTGTGAAGCACATGTACATCTTGTTTGTATGTACAAACTTTGACATGCACAATTCAGCAAACTGATAATGCATTTGTCTAATATGCTTATAAAAATTCGGTGCATGTCCAGAGTGACCAATAAGAACCCTTGATTTCTGCATACTGAGACTTGGCAGGTATTGTCATCTCAGGCACAGTCAGTAGCCGTGCGATGTCATAGCCTGACTTGAGACATGCTCTAAGTGCAACCCATAGTAGTATATGTTACACGGAGTCTGTCACTTTTATGTGCTTGTTATTTCTAGGAGCTATTTGCTTCCTTAAAAGTTCTGTTCAAATACTTGAAAAAAAATAGTATAAAGGATGGGGAAAGACTTATCTGGGGAGTTTGACCAAGGCTATGTTGCAGATCAATGGATTCAGCTAAACTAAGGAAAGCAAGTTTAGATTACATGTTTTATAAGAGATCTCTTATAACAAAGCACTGTTAGTCTCCTGAGGGGCTGCCAAGGGAGACTGTAGATGAACATCAAAGCAAATGTTCACAAAAAGTTTACAAATTAGGTTTGTGGAGTCAATTAAAAAGCTTTTTACTGCTGAGACTGGATCTGTTCCTGCTGTTTCCTAGTGGGAAGTGGGGGGTCTTAGACCTTTGAGGAGATGTCAGTATTTGGCAGAGCAGGCTCTTTAATGTGCTAAGTTATTTCCCGCAACACACTGGTCTCCCAACCAAGATATTTTAAAGCAATTATTAACATTATTTTTGCTTTGATGCATTTAAAGACAAATAAAATGCTGGTAGAATACATCCCTGGTGCATTTTTACTGATATTAAAAGCTGTCGTACTTTCTCACATGCACACAGCCCATTTCAGACATTGTAACGAGAGAGGAGCTTATTTTGAATGGTAGAGGATTCATTTTGAGACAGACTTTGTCACAGAGGTAAAAATGAGTTTAAGCAGTATTGTACAGGGGTTGGATTTCCCCACCCTTTTTACTGATGTGAAAGCAAGTCATGAAAAATAAGTTAATTAAATTTAAATTAGCAAAAGCTGTCATATTACAGGTAAAAATACTATTAGATATATTATTGTTAGAGAGATACATTGGGACATATTATTATTGATAAAATGAAGATGCAAGGAAACTCTGTTTTAATCAAATGTTAACGTATGACATTACAGTATATGACAATCGATTACAGAATTTGCTTGACAATCAGAGAAAAAGCTTGCTTAACAGAACGTGTTTATACGTAAAAAAAAAACAACCAACAAATGAACCAAAATGGAAAAACAAACTCAAGTCTATCCTAAAGCTCCATTACAAAGTTAAAATACGGAGAAAACAAATGACATAAACCTAAAAAAATCCATACCTTCTAACAAAAGGTGTGTTACAATCTGTCTGGGCACATTAGATTTTCTGTATTTAGTCAAGCCACAACTGGGTACAGGGTAACCCGGATCCTGAGATGTGTTAAGCACCGGTCTGTCCCAGCAAGGGCAACTGGAGTGACGGGAACTTCCTTCCCATCAGGATGTGGGCCCTGACAGTGGAGAGAACTTTGATGCCTAAAACACACCAGCCCTCCTTTATGTATGGCAGTAGCCAACTAGCAGCCATGTTGCAGACAGCTGTCTCAAGACATTGGAAAAAGTTGAGAGATTAGGCAGCACAGCAGAAAGGGAAATAGCCAACTTCATGCCAGATAACTCTAGGGGAAAAAGTGTGTCAAAACAAAAGCAATGTTTTTGAATAGAAGACTATTCCTAGTTTTCTGGCAAGCATTACTCATCAAGAGATCAAACTTGCACAGATGAATGATTCAAGGGGAGTCATGAAACAGGCACATATATTCTTAACATGCTATGAACCAGGAGATTTTGATATCCTCACGAGGTACCTGCCGTTGAACTTTGAAAACTTTGAAATTTGGATTTTGTTCACAACAGTGACTCTGTAAAAATGCTAGGTTTTACTGTGCTTGCTGTTTGCATATCTTTTGAATTGTACTAAATTAACGGAGGGAAGTTATTTTCATTTCTGTCAGCATTGCAGAGCTGATACGATACAGCAATGCAAGAAAGTGACATATTTGTTTCATATTTACTATTATCATCATCACCTTAGAAGGTGGCTAAGGACCACATCTTCATTTAAACAAAGGCCTCATAGAAAATATGTGAAATTGTAACCTCTGTGAGATTTCCTCAGTCTAGAATATTTTATTGGGTAACATAAGATAGCAGAAGGTACAGCCCAACATGACCATCTGGGACACAAACATAATTCAAACTGGAAGATGCTTGGGTGTTACAGTGAGGGCATGACACCAATAAAAAAAAAATGTGCATAGTGAAGTAGGCTGTAAATATGTCAAAGTCCTTGTGCAATCAGAACAGTGCTATATTAATACACTGACTAAGCAAATTTGGTTCAACAGTGGGAAAAAAAGAGATGTTGTAAGCAGGACTTTTTTTTATAGAGTCACTCCTATGAACATAAGTGTATGTAAGTCATAGTAGCTTTTATTTTAATCCATTTATTCCAAGTAACTAAAGCCAGTCTTTTAGCTTCTATGCATATACAGACATGTTTGTGGTTTTGTTAGAAACTTACACAGACTTACGTAGAAGTACATGAGTCTTGGTAAAGTATTGTTATTGTCTTCTTAATTAAGGATGAGTTCACTTAACTGACTGAGCCTAAACTGCTTGCTAAAACATTGCTTTTAAGCTAGTTAGAGGTTCCATTGTTGTAAGCTGAAAGCATAGTACCTATTGCAGCCATCACATTTTTCCCCCCGAATCAGATATGAGTGTAGAGGCTATTGACAAATGTGCTGACTTGGGAGAGATCTGTCTGGTCTGTTCATTTAGATGATGAGGTAACCGTGGGGAAGTTCTATGCCACCTTCCTGATACAGGACTACTTTAGGAAATTCAAGAAACGCAAAGAACAAGGACTGGTGGGGAAATATCCTGCGAAGAATACCACGATTGCTCTGCAGGTGATTTTGTTTTTACATTTTTAACTAACCATTTTGTGAGCTTACTTGAAATAGCAGGTAGATGAATATTGATGATTGTGCAGTGCTGCAAGGATTTTATTTAGCTGGGACACTTTTGGCCCTTATTCGTCAGAAAAAGTAAAACGTAATCCTGCTATTCTGTCTATAACAAGGTAAGTGCAAAAAGTTGTTCTCTGTGGATTACTCACAGTAGCAATGGTTATAAAATTTCTTGGCAAGTCTAGTTGATACATCACAATCTAAAGTTGCTGATGTAAAATCAGATAAATGAAGTTCTGAGCTATCGTTTCTGTTCTTTGTTTTGCTTTAACTGTTCAATTTCTTGTGTTCCTACAATGCTATAAGCCAGTTCTCAGAAAACTGCCTAATATGCATTACCTCATAGTAAAGAGGGTTTTACATAGTATCATTTTTCTTCTTAATTCTCATTGTTCTTTTTCTTTTCCACTTATGATTACTGGTGAAATACCTTTCTAGCAGTATTTTTTAATATTTGCAAATTGTGAACTTCACATTCATCCATTTCTCTCAGGAAGTAATATTAGCATACTACGTTAATGTCATACGTCTGTCTGTCCCTTAACACAAGCTACCAGTGGAAACCAGGACAACAGATTTGGCCATCTGTCTCTCAGCGGGCCTGCAGCAAGCAGTCCATAGTGTATATGTGGTCTAAAGAGGATATTCTGAAAACTTCTGTCCAGTGAAACCCCTTGTATTATGAACTTTCAAACAGGCAAATGGAAGGCTGTCCTCAAATAATTCCAGACATCATACACTGCACCATTTTTATTGGATTGGGACTTTCTGAATTTCAGATAATGCTGACTAGATGCCTACAAACTATAAAGATATTTAATGTTTCTGATAGCTTTTTATTCTGATGCCAAAATTTAGCAATATGTTGTGAAAATCTCTTTCTAAAAGGGGTGAAATGTGTTAACCTGATTCAGATACTGTTTTCTTTTTTAAAAATCCTGCTGGTTTGTACTTTGATCTAGCAGAATGGTTTTTTCTGTCTTAAGTGGGTAATTTGTTTCATTCCTGTTTCCTGAGAATGCCTCTGCTGGCAGCTCTGACACACATTCTGTTCCAAGTCACCATAAGCATAACAGATGCAACAGGCAGAGAAAGATTCATCACAAATCTTGCTGTTGATTTGTAAGCACATAGCTTGCCAGGACAGTACGAACTGTATTTGCATATCATGAGAGAAGAGAAAATTATGAGGAGTAGAAGAGATTAAAAAGAAGACTGGAAACAACTGAGAGGGACGTGAAAGACATTGGATTTTTAGGAAGGACTTTGCAGACTTCTTCATTGCAGAAGCCTTTGAGCATAAGGAGCTCAGAGTTATTTTTAAGCCGCAGTATTATAATTTTCCCACTTGTGTTTTTGAAGTTGCACATATAACAATATAGAAACAGGCACTGAGTTTCCAAATGTGAGTGTGCTCTGTTGTTTATTATCAGATCACACTTCCTGTTCAGTAACAGGGCAAGATGAAGCCAGAAAGAATTAGCTCTTTCTCTGTCTTCAGACAAATATATTTCAATTCAAAACAGCTAAAAAAATGACCTTGAAGCTCTGCTAGGAATCTACAGAGGCTTATGGGATTTGAGGCATGGCATTTATTTTTTAGCTGATTAATACAATGCTCCTGTGGTAACCAAATGAGCCAGGCTGGCAGATGAGAAGGTTCATTCTTTCTTTCTCCCCATTTTTCTCTGTTCTACTTTTGTACTTTCTAACAAACCGGTAGTAACTCAATTTGATTTACCAAAAAAAAAGTGGAAATGCCATTTCAAAGGAATCTGAAACCTGTGGTTGGAAAAAAGCCCAGTCTTACAGGTTTTCAGTCCAGCATTTGAAGGAATAATATAATTCAGTACTGGAAGCTACAGCAAGTCAGACTCAAAGTCAAAAGACCGTGTTGGAATAATTAATTATATGAGGATACAGCTTTAAACAGACCTGGATAGCTTTCTAAAAGAGATGTTCTACTTCAAGGAATTGATTTCTTCTGATCAATGCCCCTGAGAACAGTCCTGTGGGATGTATTATGGAGAAGTTAGTATAAATTATCACAGATGATCCTTTTGGCCTTACAATGTGTAAAAATCTGATATCTCTCCATTTGCAGCCTCTTCATTCCAGAATTGCTTTGTCCAATGCTTAAATGCTTATAAAAATTTAATGTTTTCAAAAACCTATGTCCTTAACAACCCTTTTTTTGGCAGCATAGTTCAAGGGTATACCATCAAACTTGTTTTTCACTTACAGAACTTTTGTTGAATGATCTGTGAAAGGCTTGTAACTATGAGGATGTTATTTCAGTCCTTGGAGAGCTAATAGTAGCTATTTTTTCCATTTATTCTCTCAAATACTCTAAGTAAACTAATGTTTGCAGATATCTCTGGTAAACAATATACTAAGAAAAGCTGAAACATGCCATTTCACTCTGTCTCTCATCCAATTTCTTAGGGGAATTGTGATGACTGTTATGTAGATACACACCACATTTTCCTTATAAACACTAAAGGAACTTCATATGGCAGTCACGATGGATTTATATCTCTTGTTACTCAGTTCATCCGGATGAATTTTCTGTTTATTTGTATATCTCCATGTAAACTAATCATATGAACTGCACGTACAGTATTGCAGCACCTGACTTGCTTACTAAAATATACATGGAACAGATTGTGAACAAACAAAGTCCTAAATTAGTCAGCCTTCCCTCCTCTCTGGAGAGGAAGAATATCCCCAGCTACACCTGTGTTCCTGACACTGAAATTTGCCAGTAAATATTTTTATTCTTGGCTGTATTTTTCTTATCTTTTTGTTGTTTTGAGAACTTTCTTTTTGAAATGAGAAAATTCCTGTAACCAGGGCACGGACGTGACTTCAGCAGCCCCTTTTATTTAGTTTCTCTAAACTAGTTAGTATTTTGCAGTATCTAGTAGTCATGATAATACCACTGCAAACAGGGGCTGCTTTCTGGACTGCTAGAAGTGGTGAGAGCAGCAGAAGTTGGGCTGAGTCTGTCTTTTGTTTTTCAAGCTCTGTCGTTCAAACCTTCCTGTACTAGAATTGTTTGCTTAAAGCTTTAAATGAGATGAGGAAAATACTTTTATCAGGCTACAATAAGAAAAGGCTTTCCAGTGATCTAGTTCTTCTATTTGTACAGAACAAGACCAACTGTATTTTCATGTTCTCGTCAACAAGTCACCCTATTGCAGACCAGTTGTCATGTTGCAAAATCATTAAGCCAACCAGCAGATAAAAAGCAATGTCACCCGTTCCAGTTTGTGACAAAAGCTGCATGAGCAATAAATGCTCTCATACTTTTGCTGACATCTGTAACTGTCTCTTTGGGTGGTTGGAATTACCTGCAGAATTAGTTAATTAGTGAAGAACATGCTTCCTAAGGATCTCATAAACCCTGCAATTGCTGCGTTATCTAGCCTGGCCTTATCTCCTTCTCCTCCAAGAAAGGGAGAAAACAACATGCGATCAAGCTTTACAATCCATTCGTAACTGTTGAATGAAGCAAGAGGTGAGTTTTATAATCCTGCTGTTTTATAATCCTGCTGTTTCCTATCGTTGGACATGTCACACTTTTCTTGGCTTCAGGGAGTAAGCATCCAGTTTGAGAGAGAAGTTATATGCTCCTTGTGACAAAACCCATTCTGTGTTTTAATTATCAGGACAACTGTTGAGGCAAGAAATTAATGTATGTTGGCATTTTCGCTGTTTCTTGAGAATGTAACAGAATTTTTTTGACATAGATCGGTGTACTCTGCCTTCCTTTATTGTTCATGTTCTCAGCAGTATTTTGTTGGGGGGTTGGGGTTTTTGGTTTGGTTTGGTTTCTTATGCTACTTTTTTTTAGTACTGAAGGGAAAACCATGTAACTGGCAAATGGCCTAAGGCACAGCTTCACAGCTTCTCCCAAGAGAGCTACGCCTACTTTTTCTTTTTGCTAGTCCTTTAGTTATATTCTAGGGCATTAAGTTGGATGCCTTGCTTTTAGCTAAAACTGTTTAAAACATTTACTTCTCATTGTATCAGGAACAGCAACATGACTTATGTTAATGTAGGCAGAAAAATGATGTGCAATAATATAAGAACGATGACATTCAAGATAAAAAGTGTTGTAGAACTGCAAAGCAAAACCTTCACAATATTACAACTAGAATTTAAGATCATAAAAAATATTGTTTTCAGCAAGAAAAGCACTTGAAAAATCTAATATAAAAGATAAGGGATCATCTATACCATCTTTAGTTAGTTGAAGAGAATTGCATAACACACGGCAAGATTCTGTGAGCTCAGGAAAGTCCAGTGAGATTTCTCTGGTGGCCTACGTTAGTCATGTTAGTAAGTCCTGTTTCAACAAGTGTGGGAATAAATCTTCCCTTGGAAGCCACATTATTTAGCTAAAGGCTTCATCTGTGGACCCAGGAAGGCAGACTGAGTAAGGATCATGTGTAAAAATACTATTCTTAGAAGCTGTTATCTTTAGAGAGACAAAAAGGGTTTAATTTCAAGGTTAAATAAAAAGATTCACTTTTTTTGCAGGGGGGGGTTAGGTCAAGAACTTTTGGCAGTAGGTGTAATAACTAAAATCAATGGCACTTTAATTTTACCCTTTTCCCAAATGTCTTTTCTATCGTTTGCAATTCACTGGCTAAAAACATTCTATGCCTGCAGTTACATTGCCATCAGAATTTTTTTCCAGCACTTTACAGTCAAATTTCTACAGTAAAATTTACTTTATCAAGCCTTTATCCCAGCTGAACCAGTTATTAATGTATGTTTGTCAATAAAATATTCCTAAATTTCAAGAAACTTTTATCATCTTTGACTTTTGAAGCATGCAAGGGATGTACTTTTTTCTTACTTTTAAAGAATATTTTGAAATGTATAGTCACATAGTTACTGAAAAGCAGTTTGTATCAGGGGAGGTTCAATGG